TTTTTTCCACATAGGGACATGTACGTTTTCCCTTAATAAATAAAATCATTTAAAAACTGCATTTTAAGACATGTTAAAATTTGTTTGATGATCAATCTAAAACATTTCAATATGAATGAATAATTTCTAATGTGAACTAGATTTTCATGGAGTACAGCCTGTGATCAGCTGACCTGCTGCTGCTTGAGGTTTACTGCTTTTTGTGGATTCATACAACTGAATTCAACAAGATGCAAGCAGATGTTTCATGTCTCCTGGCTGATGTCCATCCCCTACACTGACACTATACAGTTTATACTGTCTTAATACTGGACAGTGTATAAATAAATACAGGTAGTATAAATACTGAATTTAGGGAGTAACTCTTAAGTATCACCAACTTAATACAAACTAATATCTGCAAAACTTGATCTGACTCTCGAACGCCTCAACCACTGTAAACCGGTTCAACACAGAACTTCAAACTCACCATAGTACGACATTGTAACCTGTTTATTCTTCTTAAAACTAGTATTTTCATCATCATTTGATGAACACAAAGGTACAATACCTTAGTTTGTTTTGCAGAACATTTTACTATATGAAAATACATAATTTGTCAAAGCAACATATACAGAACGAATAGCTAATTAAAACGATGACATTACATGTAAGCCTTAAATTTGCAGTTTATCAAATACCACTGAGCACTCCTTACCTCTTCATCCTGTCGTATCCTGTCTTCATACATCATCATTTCTAAGTCAAGTTAGCTTGCATTCTTTTATCTCCCTGTGAAATACAGCAGCTGCACCTAGCAGATGCAATATGCAATAAACTGCACACAGTTTGTGAGTTTGCTTATAATTGTTCAATTCAATTAAATTTTATTTATATAAAGCCAAGAAAACACAAAAACAGTTGCCTCAAGGTGCTTTATATTGTAAGGCAAAGAACCAACAATAATACAAAGAAAACATAGATAACTCCAATATCATATGATCCCCTCTGAGGAAGTGTTTTGGTGAGAGTGGGAAAGAAACTCCCTTTTAATAGGAAGAAACCTGGGAGGGGCTGGACACCTGATGCAACCGGTTGGGAAGAAACGACAAAGACACTCTGTGGAAGAGAATCAGAGATTAATAATAACTAGAAAAATTTGCATTTCCTGCGAAAATGCAGTGTGGATGCTTTAAAGCTGAAGCTGTCTGCAAAAACTAGCTGAAAAAGCTGAAAAGTTGCAGAAATTGTAAAAACTTTGCAGAAGCAAA